TATATAATATAATATATAATATATAATAATATATAATATATATATATATAATATAATATAATATTATAATAATAATCTGTCTTTACGACGTACGATCGGCCGAGCGCAAATAATGATCTAAACAAATAAGCTATGATTTGAAAAAAATCACTTTTTATATAAACACCATTCTCTCTCTCTCTCTCTCTCTCTCTCTCTCTCTCTCTCTCTCTCGTGTGTCGTGTGTATCACAGATTTTATCGTTCGCATCATTAACAACACATTTTTCTTTACGATACAATTTGAGATACAACGACGGCTGCCGCTCGTTCCTGGGAACGCGACGTATAGATATATGTATATAGCTCGGCCGTACATACTGGTGAAAATTACATTTCATTAAATCGATATGAGATCGTTTTGGTATGATAATCCCGGCCATTAGCTTTTAATCCGCGAAACACAATCCTTCTTTCGGTATCTCGGCGAACGCGCTGGACAGAGCTTCGATATTATCCGATATTAATCCCGAGGAGCGATCATCAAGTTTCGATAGGACCCCGCGAATAACAGGACTACCGAATCCTCTCGATCGCTCGCGTAACTGGCTTGCTCGTCGAATCGATCGAAAGTCCGATTAGAATAATCTAAAATCCCCGAATGAGACGAGTTATCGCGAACGCATATATATATGTATATATATATATATATTATTTATATATGTGCAGTGGCTGGCTGAGATGTGTTCACAACTCAACAAGGTGTCGGCGATTCCCCTTCCCTCCTCCCCCCTCCCTTGACCCGAGTGTGAACACGTGAACATGGTTCCGCTTTCGCGAGGAGCCGGTGATAATCAGCGATAATTGCAAATATTTCGAGCGCAAGACGCTAAACGTCCGAAACGATCTCAAACACATCGTCTCGGACGATGAGAAATTTCTGCTGCTTTTAATCGCTGCACCGGGGAATATTTATTAGATTAGGCTGTGCGTGGTAATAGGACCACGCGACGCGCGATCTCGAGAATCTGCAGACTGCCGAATTAAATGCGATTCTATATATGTATATTGTACAGTGTCCCAAGCCGCTGCAGCGATGAGATTTGACTAAATAATATTGACATTAACATTGCAAGAAGAATACATATTATACTTTGTAACGTTCAATATGTTCGTCAGTCAGTCGTCCAGATCGAAGCGATGGAACAGCGATATTTTTGCCGATCGAGCGGATTAGAACAATACAAAAAGAAATGTATTTCGATCGAATCGCTTCGAACAGGATAACGATGTTGATACGTATTTATATGAAATAAACCTGAGATATCTTTAAGTCTGTAAAGCTTTCGTTACGAATGTTTGAAACTTTGCGTGTGTTCCACCCTCCGTCCCTTATTCCGCTTGTATCACTCATAAGATTCTCTTTCTCTCTCGCATAGGGTTTTTCCTTTCTCGCTCGTTTTCTTTTTTTTATTAGAGAATATTTGGCATACGTAATGGCACAGTTAATGAGAACTTGTACTTTTGTTTACATTCGCGAAGTGCCATCCCACGTAAGGTATCTACCAAAATTCTCTTCAACGCGACAACTCTGTCGAGAGTTTCTTAGCACGGCTAGCTGTCGGCTTTAGCTATCATTGTGCACGGGGATCAGCAATAAATCATATACGAATTTCTTCGAGACCCATCGGGAATTTATTGCCAAATATATGACAGATACAAGTTCGCGTAGCGATTTCGCACCGTGCCGCATTTTTAACGAAGTTGGAGGCTTAAACGATCAGCTAATAGACTCTATTATTATATATTTATCGCGAAATATATTAAACGATATAATGCGTTATTATTTGTCATTTTGTCAGTGATGATGATCGAATGATTTAAACTGGCGATTGATTCTCGCTTCAATGTTTTCTCAACATTCGTTCATATATAGTACGTTCAGTGTCACATATGCCTTTGCATCTGAAATTCATTTTCAAACTTTCACACATTTCATATTTGGATATTCGTACATTGTGTGTGATTATTTAAAATTATATCCAATTTTTAATCCAATTAATTTAATATTGTATAATCTGATCTTTTTATTTTTTAACGCTAGATTTAATATTTTACATATACACAGACAGATTTTTGCAACTGTTAAACTATCAGGCACAATTTTGAATCGCGATACATTGCATATGATGAATTTAATTGATATAGATGATTAACGTCAGACATAAAGATATATATGACTCTAACTGTACACTCGAAGACATAAATAAAAATAAATACAAAAATGGTAAAGTTTAAAGGATTAGACCGGTATTTTAATAAATATTTCGGTTAACGCGAGAAAATGTCGTATATAGAAGTTTTTAAAAAATGTTTTTAAAATAAATATCTTAAAAAAATGTTCTATGACGAAAATCGTGTATATATATGATTCTTTTAGAAACAATTTCTCTTCAACATTATAAATTTCAATGTTACCGCCGCACTTTTTTAACGTGTATTAAACGTGTACAGATTGCACAGAGTATAACCACGACGAAGAAATTATGCTAATAACTAAATATTAAGTGATAGTATCACTATCTCTTTAGCAGTTTTTGTTTAAATATTGTCCTTCCTTATACTTGGTAAAATTGTATCGACATAATCGAGTGTAACAATTTTGATCGCAGGAGGGAACCTACATGGACGGCAATTGTCTATGCTATCTGTACTTGTACGTTAACATTTCATTTTGCGAGTATTTTATGTACATGATTCTTTATATCATTGTGAATATGCTATCTGTGTAAAAATTTTAACATGATCAGCACCTTTTTTGACAATGCATTAGTGTTCGCGTATCAAAACGCTGTGATAATTCTCAATTGTGAGTACTATTCCATAAATTCTAAAACGCGATAAAGATTCGAAAGAATGCACAGTTCGATATAATCAGCTGCGTCTTATAATGCACAGCATCGAATTTAGAGAGGTAAAAATTAAAACTTTTCTGTGCGACGACAACATTACGTGTTAAATAGCACAATCGCTGTTTAAAAATTAGTCATTTTTAAAGAGATCGATTATTTTTTTTTAATTTAAATACAATGATATTGATAAAATAAAAACGAGAAATACTGGTAACGCGATGCTTACAGTTTTGAACACAAAGGTATCGATATACCTTTACGAGAATTATTCGTTTCTTTTGGAAATTTCTTTTTTTTTGAGTTATACTCTCAAATTAGAATTTGAGTCGTGCATTTTGTCAATAGAATTGATATTTCATTATGCTGAAAATCTAAATCCCGTGACATTATGATTAATAAACAATAATACTAATCCTTAGCACATTAAGTTCAATAATTATATAAAACGAGAGCTGAAATATACAAGATAATACACGTAATATACATAAGACGTAACATACAAGATAATTATACTAAAGTATAAACATCAATCGAGAAATTGGAAGAAATTTTTATTGTAGCAAGTGTCGTTTTTCAATGTATTTTTGACCATTTAATATGATATATAATGCAACGTCTCACCGCGATTTTCTTCCATTAAATATGAAATACTTCTGTTATTTATTTTATTAAAATTTTAAGAATTTTAACTTTTTATTTTACAACTATATTAAGTTGTAATATCAGAAGCATAAAATTATAGAATTATTATCTCATATTGTATGTCGAAATAAATAATTTTTTTCACATATCGTCAATAAATAATTATATAAACAACTGTATAAATATGTATATTATAAGATATGTATAAAATATATACTATATATAAATATATTATAATATATAATATTTTATATAGTTGTAATTAGGAATATGAATATAATTTAGTATATAACTTATATTCATATAATTGAATTAATAATGAATTTTATCTTGTATCTCGTATGTGTAAAATATAAATTAATTTTCTCGTCGCATATCATTAAAATATGATTATAAATCGTTATCTATTGTTGTTATATTCATTTTAGTTAGTAATGCACAGCGCATGAGTAAATTAAACTCGTAAATTTATTTACGAATAAAACGAATAAGTACAAAGAAAATTTCTAACATATTTATTGCACATATGTGAATATGGTTTGTGATGTACAAACAAAATATTTTTTTTGTAATGCAAGGAAAAAAAATTCATAATAAATCTTCGTTTCTGACATTATAATCCAATATAGCTGTATAAGAAGGAGCCAGGAGTTTTTAGGTTTAATATTGAGTTTCTTTAAAACACGTCATTTATTTGAAAAAAATTTTTTCGTCAAATCCGTCAATATATAAAATTAGCAAGTGCTCATTGGACATTACTATATATTAGAAATATTATCGAGATCAAATATACATATTTTCAAAATAATCGATTCGAATAAATAAATCGTTCCGCGAACGGCCCAAAGCGAGAAAGGAGTATAAGAAATGTAGACTATACGCGAATATGGAGCATTTCGCATGAAGTGATCCAGCCTGAAAAATAAAAGTTTCTCAATCGTCTTGATATTTTTACAATTGATAGTCCTATTGATAACAAAGCCTCAGTAAAAATTTTAAGACTCTAGTTCGAGAGGTTGCCTAGCAGTAGAGGTTTAAATTTCTACCGTGACCATCGTGATTACGTTCTTAGGTCTATAACTTCCCAAGAAATAGACCGATTTTAAAAAATCAGGTGTGATTTGGAAAGTATTTTTTGCATACTTTAAGAATATATTATTTATTTTTAATAAAATTGATAAGTTCGTCATATATAATTATTTAAGATTAATGTTAAAAGTCGTTTTTTCTCAAAGATCGACTCCTTTGATTTGAATGAAAGAAATTTTAGAAAATAGTACAATTCTTTCTGAACAAAAAAGTATAGGACGACCAAGATGGGCAGGGCAATAGTTTTCGAAATATAACTCGATTTATCAGCAAGCGCACGCTCCGCGCAGCGTTCCGTCGCGTCGCAGTGAATCGCTCGGCTACGCCGACATAGTGGGACACAACGATCTATTAGGGTGCTTTTTGAACGTGAGTCCCCTTGCCTCTCACGAATCGGGGTGTTTTTCGAAGGGTAGAAAAAATCTGGAATAATATATTTTCTCATATTGGTACTCATGAATTCAGCACCCCAATGGATCGTTTTGTCCCACTATGTCGGCATAGCCGGACGACTCACGGTCTATTTCTTGGGAAGTTATAGACCTAAGAATGTAATCACGATGGTCAACACGTAGAAATTTAAACCTCTACTGCTAGGCAACCTCTTGAACTAGTCTTGAATTTTTTACTGAGGCTTTGTTATCAGTAGGACTATCAATTGTAAAAATATCAAGACGATTGAGGAACTTTCATTTTCAGGCTGGATCACTCATGCGAAATATCCCATATATGATGTCACATCGTTCTTTTTGCGCGCGCGATTATATATAGTACGCATGTATGTACGCACATATATATATGTATGTATATGTGTGTATATGTGTGTCGAATGTGTGAGTGTGTCATCTAGAACGAGACCTTCGCTAGATCTTAATAGATCGATCGATTCAACTGCGTAGCCTACCCCAAATATGCGCTTGCAGCTCCTTTGTTGGCGAACACGATCTTAGGTCGTCGGAAGGCTAACAAGGCTAAGCCCGGTATACGGCGACGCATGCCGTGCAACATATAATGCCTCTCTAACGTACGAGAGAGGTTTGAACAACAATTTTTTGAATTATTTATCTGGCAGTATAATTGGTGTATAAAATTTTGGTTTCTTTTTTTTTCTTTCTCATTTCTTCACGCCTTTACCCATCTTTGCGCTTTTCTGCTCGATTCGCGGCACAAATATCCGATAAATTTAGATACATTATTTCACAATTATCACAATTATTAGCTCTGTTTTTTTTCACGCGAGACTCTTCAACTTACCTGTCTGCGTTCGTTTAGCATTGAACATCGGTCAGACCGAACATCGATTCGCCGGTCTTTCCCTTCGTCCGTTAGATTCGATCGCTTGTTCCCCAGGGATCGACATTCCCGAGGTTCGACATAACGCCCTTAGATCTGTCATTATCGAGAGCAGTCACGGTCACGCTTCTGGCGGAAGAAGGAAGATCTATTGCAATGACCTAAGAGACAGTTCGGGAACCGGCGCTTCGAAAGACATGCATGCTCGCTCCGAGTGCGAGTGCGTATCTCGTATAATACGAACCAAAAGGTTCTCTTTGTCAGGCGGGATTGGGAGCGAGGCAGTATTTCGCGCCCTTTTCTAAGAACGCGAAGAATTCAACAGTTTAAAATCGCCTCACTCCGCGCACGCCAATTATTCGCTACTTATTAATCGAATAGTCCCTCGTTACGATAGGGACTCGGTCGGAGTTTGCCAAGTGCGAAACACGAACGGGCAGAAATCGTTCGGATAAACCTTTCATCGTGAACTTGTTCTATGAGTTGATTAAATTAAGAAAGATGTTATCTCGTACACGAATATCGGCCCTTAGAACCATCCGCCAACTGTCATTGTTGAGTGACATTTGCCTTTGAAAACTCGTGTCTATCGTTTCGGCGACGGAAAACAAAATGGAAAACAAGAGGAAGAGGTGCTGAGGTTTGATGAGTCTTGCTTTCTTATATAGTACCGGTGAAAGAATACTCCGTAAGAGATATAACGCTTTCGATACAACCGGCAATAACGTAGCGGTTTCGCGGCGTCTCTCGTGTTCCAAATCGTGGAAGCCTTTTCAACGCTTCGCTCTCTTTGACGATGATTAGCATTTGGCAGTTGGTGTTAATGTTCAACGTAGCATTGGCAAACTCTGAGGTCGACTTGACAAGGGTTTCCGCCCACGGACGTACGAACGGGGCGGACGCTTGGCCTATTCGCTGCAAAAGCGGGTGCAGGCTTTCTTCCACCTGCACTGAGTGCACCAAAGGTCGCGCGAATCCATACCGTAGATCTTGCGACACTTTTTAACATCGCTTCGCGTTCGTCGCGGAGAGGACGGCTTGCCCGTGGTCGCTGTCAGGTTCTGTTGGTGACACGCTTGCAATGGTCGCGGGGACAACTTGATGTGCTTGTTGGGCGTACCCTGAAATAAAAAAAAACAGAAATGAACATATTTATTTATTAGAGTTTATAACTCGACGCGCGATTACCTACCGGCGATTGTGAGATCGTAAACGTGTTGCTCGGTTCCCTGACACTGACTATCACGTTCTCCATGAAGGTACTCGCGATAGGAGCCGCCTCGAGACGAAGCTGCTTCTGGTACTCTGGATCCTCGTGCGGCGGTCTCGCCATGTCCCGATGAGACATTGTGGGAGGCGAGCTCATATGATCCGCAGGAACTTCTTGATAATAGAATTCCTCCTCGTGATCGGACATGTTATATTCGCTGTCGCATTCTGACTTTTTTGGACTGCAAAATAAATTATTATTTTAGTTCACTGTGTTATTTTGTAAATGAGTCTGTTGATCGACAAAGATTCGATCGTCGCGAAAATCGTACGCGAACATAATTTCCGTCTTAATTTACGAACATTATATGTATACAAACTTACTCTGTATAATCATTTTATTCATCGTCAAAAGTGTTCGAAATTAAAATAGTGTTTACAAGCTAGGCTAAGCTCTTAAAAGAGCTGCACACTCTGTTGGAAGATACCACTGTCGTGCCATTTATTAATATTTAATGTCAACAATTTTTTCCATCGTGCCTGAGACCGACTTGAGTGCGCTTTCACTTCATCTTCGTAACACGTTTTATGCGCTAAACGCTATTATATCTAAGATATTAGCTTACCCCAGATGTGATTGGCGCACATGTTCTTCAATGAGCGCGACGGTCGCTTTGATTTCCAAGCACCCTTTCCAAGTGCACTTAAAGACCACTGCCGCGTTCACCTGCAAGCAGAAAGACGACAATCGTTAACGATCATCGATAAGAACGACATGTAGGAACGGACGGACAAGCTAGCGACAGATTTATACGTCTGAGAGTACTCAACGAAAGGGAAAGGGTAACGGAGACGGCTACGATTTTACCAATCCCGTTTTACGTCATCCTGTAATGCACCAATCGCCGCGCGTTGTAATGCAACTCGCGCGTGGCGTGGGCGTAAGTTGACGTAGGGCTGCTGTAACCATGAGTTGAATGGAACTATCGGTCACTCGCTCTTTAAAACGCCGCGACCTTTTCTCGTGAACTCTTTTTACCGCGCAAAATAAAACAACTATTCTTTCTCTTTCATTTCGTTATTAAATTTATTAAAATTGTAAACTTGTTTAAGGTTACATTCGTTTATGTCATTTTATTTCGCTATCAATATCATTCTTACATGCAAATCTTTATTAGCATCTTTATTAGCATATGTCATAATATATATTAAAATCTCTCTCCACTATATCGTTCCTCTCTTCAACATCTTTGTTTACTTCTCGAATCTCTATTCTTTTTCTTATATTTTATATATTTTATTTTTAGCATATGTTATAATATTAAAATCTCTTTCCACTATATATATATGTCGTTCCTCTCTTCAACATCTTTGTTTACATCTCAAATCTCTGTTCTTTTTTTTTATAATATTATTTTAATTATCTTTGAAGAGAACTGTCATTATACGCGTTCGGACGTGAACGATTGTGTGCGGACGGTGTGTCGTGTCACTAATCCGTAAGTAGCCAAGTGTCTTAAGGCGGCCCTGCGTCAAGTCCACGCCAAGTCACGCCAAGCCAAGCCGCCGGAGAGGAAAATCGATGCGCGCGGCAGCCAGCGCAGCAGCCTCGCCGCGCGCACGTTTCTTTGTTTACATCGGCCAGCCGGCGGCGCCGCGCCGCACCGGTCACGACGATACGGTCACGTGGTATTGATCCAGGAGAGCGAGCAATACAAGTCCCCCCTCGCGCGTGGACCACGCGGTATCCGACGATCGCATCGCGTGCCTTGAACGCGCGAAGGACAGCGAGATGCCGCGGGGAATTGACATTTTCGAAGCGCGAAAGGCTTCGCGTACTACTATTATCGTTTTCTATATCCGAGCGACCGATCGTCGGAACGATCTCTTATTCTCGACGAACGCATCGGCGTAAATCGCACGTAGAATTGCACGTTCAGCGTGGTAGCAATTGCAACTAAATTTAAAATAGCCGATCGAAATACGAATGCCTTTGTAACGGTGCATTTCCGACCGAGGATAGAATTTCGCTGAACTCATTGTCGGTATTTTGTATTTTTAGACATATATGTGTTGCGAAAATGATCTCTATATTTGTTTATAATTGATTTCTCTGTCTGCTTGCGGATTTAGAAATTTGATAGTAGTAAAAGATAAAATTCAACAAATAATTGGATATATGCATGTATGTAGGAGACGACTAATCATTTATTAACGATCTTGCGGATTATGTCGGCAAGCGGATATTTTTCAGCGTAACGGAATTTTAATTAAACAGGACTGATCACGATCTCGTTAATGCGGCCGTAGTAGAGAGAACGCTTTCTCGAAGTACTCGGAATTACAAGAATCTAAAATAATTCCTTTAACTATGTACTCGCGCGATCAGAGCACATCGTCGATCGGCCTACTTGATGAATGCATGAATATTTACGAGTGACTTTACACACTTAAGAAAACACATCTCGGAAACTGCGCCCCGATGAAGTTCACGCGACTCGACTTACGCGTCATTACGCGCTTCCTTCGATTCCCACGCGGCGTATCAGATGGAAAGACAGTGGCGAGGGGGCTGATAAGTGTCTGCGCGCGTCTAAAAAAAACAAGGAGGGAGAGAGAAAAGGCGCGAGAAATGAGAACGCGAGTTGTTCGACAAGAGTCAACTCGGCGAGTTTCAAGGGCTGTCTCGGATAGGTGCAGTGACATCAGCTCTGAAACGGGAATACACCGTATCGTGTACCGCGCGTGGAAGAGAGTATACCGGGTGACGCAGTCGGCGAAAGGGTAACGAGAACGCGCCGATAAAGGAGCGTATCGATATGTCGCGCTCTCGAAAAAGACGGGACCGACAGGGTGCGAGTACCAGGTCCGCGTGGGAGGAGGCGACGCTTCTTCGCGCCTCGGGAAGGACCTCGCGGTTGTAGGGTGGCGACAGTGTGACATCATCTCCGAAACGGTACACGCCGGGTACACACGACGTGGCGCAGCCACTACCGAGGTCACAGACCTTCTACGCCGGTTGGCAGGCAATGCTCTCTCTTTCTCTCTCTCCCTTTGCCTTGCCTGTGCCTGGTTTGGCGTGCTCCGGAGAACTTCGCAGCAGTCCTTCCCCCTATCTAACTCCCTTTTCTCCCCTTTCCTCACGACCTTTATAGGATACGATGGGGTAATTCCGATAGCATTTGTCTAGAGGGCACCATGCGTCCCAGTCAGCATCCTTATACGTGCGCGATAGCGGGTACTGATCTCTCGCAATCGGAGCGCAGATCTATTTTCCTTCTCTCTCGGATATATACTTTTTTCCTTGTATAAAATGTGTATAAATAGATACGTGTATCTCCTTTACATGTAAAATATCTGAAACCATTTCTTCGTGAAATCACGAAGAAATTTATTATCAATGCTCATTATCGATTTGTACAATATTCGCGCTTTGTTGTTTATTCTATATATATATAGATGTCGAGTAACTGGAGCAAATTTAGAGATAGGAGATAAAGAGACAACGATATATTTCTTGTCGAAAGACGAAATAAACCTATTCAACAAAGAACGTGTAAACACACAAGGATTACGTCGTCGGACGTATTTATCATCCGTTGCATTCGGCGTTGCACGTGACGCGTGCGGAAGACAGGGCGCTATCGTAAAATTCGATTGCACGAAAGACACCCCAGCGATACGGTCGGAATGGGAGGGTGAAAAATCGGTAATAGCGTATTTTTATTCGCGGCGTAGCGTATATATACATAGGAGAGGCGCAATATATAAATCTGACGGAGAACCATTTCTCGCGCGCGAATATCATCGCGCGGCTCCTCTTCTGGGTATACGCGGGGATGAGTAAGCCAAGCCAAGCCAAGCCAAGCCAACGCGGGGTTGCCGTGCGATGAACGACGCGGCGCGGCGTTTCGTGGGCGCATCGCGTGCGATACGATGTTGCCGGCGATAGAGATGGCTGCTCGGCCCCGTTGGGGATGCACACGCATGGCATGGCCGGCCGGTCGGAGCGCGCGCACCGAGAGGACGAGGCCATCCACCCTACCCGGAGCTCGTTCACGCGAAGTATATACCGCCGCGTCCTTCCCCCTACTCTTTCCATCACTTTTGTGGACTGCGCAACGACGCGCGCGCTCGCGCGAATTCGCGTGGATGTGTGTGTGTGCGTGCGTGAAGATTTGCATGCGTCGTAACCAAAATTACGCGTTACGTTATGCATCTTTTCTTCTCCCCGCGAGACGTGTCCTATTAAATCGTCTCTTTGACGCGCGTTGTTCAATCGTTTCGACCAGAAGCGACCGATGACGAACTCTCTCTTCTGGTGTGTGATTCGCCTCGTAGGAATGCGCATCTGAAAGTCAACGCCCCGAAGTTTATTAGACCGAATGGATTTCGAATCGCTCGTGCGTGCGTGCGTCCAGCGAAAGAATTTCACTCTCGTTGCAATTCTGGTTACATATTGGTTTCGATTTTATATCGATGAGCAATCAGAAATTTCGCGCAGCTATATATGTATACGTGTCGCGATGCTCGTCGATTATCAAGGCCGTTCCTCGCACACGGTGCACAGGATTTAGCCGTACCGCAAATTCGCGCGTGGTGAACGCCGGTGTTGTTGTTATACGCGCGTGGAACGCGGGCGCAAAAATCGATTCGAAACTATATAGCGTTTGCAACAGCTTGCTCGCTTTTTCTCGCGGGGCTCTCGCTTTCTCCGCCGACTCTAACCGAGCACTCCATCGACTACTGCACAAAAGTGCACGCGACGGGAGAGCTATACTTTTCTACGTCGCTCTATACCTTTCCTCTTTTCCACGACCGCTGAGATTTTCGCATACACCGAGACTGTTCTTCATCTCATGCGGCGATCATATAGAAAGATTGTTTTAATATTTTACATATATTAAACACGCTGAATATTATTTAAAACAATTAATTCGCATTCTTTTTGTCAGCACTTAAATCTTTCATCTTTATTTTCACCTTATTTGACAAAGAAAATGTTGTTTTGCGGGTATGCCAAAAGCAGTTGTATCATCTCCAAATAATGATATTCTCCATGTACCGTTTTGTGTACACATCTTGACGTCACTAGCTGCCGACTCCTCCGTCAGTCCCCATTTCGGGACCACGCGATAGGTTTCACGGACATAGGGATGTATCGTGCGAAGAGACAGAGAGAGAGAGAGAGAGAGAAAGAGAACGCGAGAGAATGGGTGAATAAGGAAGAGAGAGAGAGAGAGAGAGAAAGAGAAGTCAGAGTCACTGGAGAGAAGTGGGAGACCCGGGTAACGCCCGGGAAACCAAAACAAACCGGACTTCTATGTGTTGGCGCGTCGATCCGTGGCGTGTGGTGAGGGTCGGACGTTGACCCTTCGACGAACACACTGATGCCTCACGCACGGAGAGGCATACGGGGTGGCGGGAGAAAAACCTACGGGTTTGTTGTGGGACCTTCGTAGTGGCGGCGTCGACGACGACGACGACGACGATGATGGTAGGCGGAGAGACGCCGTAATAAGGGGCAGGAAATTTCAGAATATGGCGAAAACGAGGACGATAGGGATGAATCCGACTCTCTCTCTCTCTCTCTCTTCTGGAGGAAGAAAGAGAGAGAGGAGAGGGGATTGACCGCAGAGAGAAGCTAAGGAGCCACGTGTGATGCAGCAGGTACGATAAAGGCCGGTTGTGCGGCTTCGACGTCGAGTCGTGCACAATCTGTGCACG